TACACTAAGGGTGAAATCCTGTACCTACTGAACAAAGCTACTTAAAGATTTGCCACTGGGGGTCAGAAGAGCTAGGATTTCACCTTGGTCTTCAGACACAAAAAGTTAGTGAAAGTCTTAAAACAAGGCATTAACAATAGCAAATCAACCTAATTAGAACTTTTACTTTTTCCATTGCCAGATGTGCATTGTTGTCTTTTTTTAATTTTTCTTTTTTTTTTTATAGAAAAAATAGAGTATTTAAGGAGTGACCGTGACAAATTGCAGTGAAAGTTTTTTTTGTGAAATTTTTATCTTTACATTCATTAAAGCTGATCTGAAATGCTACAAGACTAGATGCCTAGAAGCAAAATCTACAGGAAGACTATAAAGGCTTCTGGTCTCTCTATATTGCAGTCAGTCTAAAATAAAAGAAAGGCTGAAATGAAAGTCTCTTTTGCTAACTAGTCCTTTGTCCCAACCAGATTTAAAAACAAAAAAATTAAAGGGGATGTTAGAATGTGTAGAGCATCATTTCATTGTTTGGTTTGCACACAGAACAGAAGTTCACAATCAGTAAGAAAAATAGGAAGTTAGCAACGGTGCATGCACTGAAGAGTCCTAAGACAGTTCTCAGGTTTTTGTGTGAGTTTTTTTTGTTTAGGTTTTTTTTGTTGGTGTTTTTTTGTTGTTTTTTTTTTTCACAGGCATTGCTAGTTCAAGAACCAACAGTCAAAGAATACTGGCACTTTAAGAGGAATGAAGTTTCCACTGTCATTTAAAACAAGCATTCAGGTAAAGCTAACAGGATCATGAAGCAGAAAGTAAAGTAATGCTAAAACAAATGCTAATAATTTAGTGTAATGTACAAAAATTACTTAAGTACTTCTTAAGAATAAGGATAAACTGTATTTACATAATTATACACTTTGTCTTTGTCTTCTTTTTCTTCTTTTTACCATCTTTGCTCATCTTCTCTTTGTGTTTTCTGATTTCTCGAACTAATGTATAAAAGGCATCATCAACACCCTGAAAAGATACATACATGCACACATTAAGATCACATTAACAGACTTACATGCCTGCTTAGGTACAGCCTGTTTTCATCTGACCTGATCAGGTGAAGTGTGTTCAATCAGCAGTCTGTTTTGCTGCCTGCCAGGAGAGGTTACGCTGTCTTCTCCTTTTTGAGGCTTTTATAATGTCCCCTTGAGTAGACTGTGTGTTGGAGGAATTGCCAGGGTAACAGTCCTCTCGAGCGTTCCTGTTTCTTGGGAAGGGGCATGCTGGGGAAAACATTCAGATGGAAGGGGAACCATAGTTGTCTCCTGTCATGTAATAGGAACACGTCTGACCGCATTACTGTGCATGGGCAGAGAGGCCTGCAGGAGAGCAGCTTTGGGGAGTGGGCTGCCATTGTTTGAACAATTAATTCTGGCTACAGGCTGTTCCTCTCCCGAGTTCTGAAGAGCACTGGAACAACCACCTGAAGGAGCTGTTTTGGTGCCAGCAACAGCTAACACCTGCCTGCCTTCTTTCTCAGCTGTTCCCCAAACTGGCCTTACAGCAGCCTGCAGGTGACACTGCTCAGGGGCTGACCACAGATACCCCTAGGTCCAATTCCATTATTAGTGTGGTAAGGAAAGTAATTTAGTGTACAGCCCTCTTCCCCATCTCGAAGAGGGCACATGTTGTCCCACCTCAAACTAGAAAAGTATAGGCATCACACTTTTAGATTGTAAGTATATTATTACCACAGAATAAAGTTGTGAAACATTAGCTAGCTTTTTTGATGCCTTAATAGTCTATATGCAGCTTTAAAAAGTAAATACAAGTATTTGTAGCACGAATTCAATACCAAAGACATAGTTATGATTAATCTACATATTCAGGTCATTTCTCAGGCACACTGATAGTAATCACACCACAGTTTTATAAATCTTTATATAATGCAAATCAATCCCATGTTCCAGGGATAAATTATTATTTGATAAATCATTCTATTCAACTTACATAAAGACATGTGGAACACATTATCCATGCTGCTGTATCATGCACAGTCACTTAAATCTCCACGGCTCCAGTAGTTAAGCTACAGACACAAAAGCTAATGTTTCTTCACAGTAAGTAGTTTATTTGGGGGGGGGGGCGTAATTACAGCTGACAAAAATTAACTCTGGTCAAAAGACCAGCTTATCTGAAAGCCCGATATGAATCATTATCAAGTACAGTGTTATACGGTATACTTTGTAACAACCTATTTACCTGAAACAGTTTATTGCCTAGCTTTCAGGTTGCTCCAAATTCTAATCAAGTACCCATGTTGTCAGTCAGCCTTTACATTTAACAGTTTGAGTACTGACAGTTATAAAATCATTAAGATAAAAGATGATCTTGATTCTTCACTGCCTTACTCATATATCTTTTAGATAGATCAGAAACAGTTGTATAATGTTAATGTATCACAGCAGCCAGCTGCACCACTGTAGAACCAGGTCTAGAAATTTAGCCCTACAACTGGCAGGCAGCTTCCTACCTCGTCAGTTACAGAGTTTGCCTTCAAGCTGACAATAAAAATTTAACAGTCTCTGTTTACCCTTGTATGCCTACTTCAGTAAAAGAACTGAAAGTGAACTCTGAAAAAAGCACAACATAAAGCCAAAAATCACCCAATTCATTACTGTTTCAGTCAAACACCAAGTGATGATGAAACTTAAGATGGAAAGTCCAACCAAGAGTGAGGTGTTAAATAGCTTCACTTATAAAGCAGTGCTCCCAGTATAATCTAAATTTATTTAAAACCTTCACATTCAAGTTCATAATACATTTACAAATAACTGATGTTCCATCAAAGTCCTTAGCAGCCTATCTCCTAATACTAATAACACACTTTTGCAAGGTCTTGTAATATACAAAATACACTTGCAAATAACTTACTCTACATATTAAAATATTCTTGATCAATATAAAATTGATGTAGCATGCCTAATGAAGAGTAGCCTTAGTTCTGGAAAAGGTCATGTCCCCCATTAATCTTTTGAGATTTAGAAATGCTTGGTATTATTTTACAGAGAGCTAGTGTATTTTGCTTATAACTTCAGCATTAATGCATAAAGTGAATACTTAGCAATGTTTGTGCAGGGAAATGATCTAGAAGTGGTGATGGTTCAAAGTGTATCTACTGCAGTTCTCATCTCAGCCAGCCAGCTAAGAGGACAGTATTAAGAATCAATCACAACAGACAGAAGAATAGTTTCATTCCTAGAACACAAGAGTGGTGGTAAGGAAAACCACTGCACAATATTCTTCTACAAGACTGTTCACATTTCCTTACAAAACTACCTTTCAGTATTTCACACTCATCATTAATGTGTTAGAAAAATACTCATTACGAGGACAGTCGTTGGCTTTCAGTGGTGTTTTCAAACATGACACACTAAACAAAAACTGTAATTTAAGTTTTCAAACAAGCAACCCTCCCTCATTAAACTGGTTTAAAAATAAATACAGAGAAAATAACTTCTACAAAGTAATATCCAGACACTATTATGGGCCTTTACACACATGACTTCACAATTAAGGCTGAAATCTTTTATTCTACCTAGTAAGGTGATGATGATCTTTAAATACAGCACATGTTGCAAAATAACTAGGGAATTGACTTAGCTTTCGTCCTTGCATTAACACCACTGTAGATAAAGCCTTTAAAATTATTTATTATGTATTTAGTAGTTTGGTCCTGCCACAGTTCCTCTTAAATTCAGGTAATGAATATAACATGACATACAAAACTACGTTTAGAATATTTGTGAATTAGAACAGGAGAACTCAAGATAAACTGAGGTCTTTCAGTTTTCAGTGTGTGGATTAAATTTTAAATGTAAGTGGTGGATATGCTGTTTACAGAACGTCCCTAAAGGCATCAGTACTGTAAGATCAAAGGCGATCAACCTTTCTAGTTACTTCTTTCAGTAAGAAGGGACTGCATGCAGCTGACCTTCCTCTCTTTAACAATGGAGTTGTTATGTACAAGCCTTTTGGAAAGCGTAAGATGTACTGAATGAGTGCTTTAAATCCAGGCTCAGGATTAGAAACTCAAAATTCACTGTGCATGTTCAGAACTATACCACACTGCCTCAATAAAGGTGCATTTGATGGAGCTTGCTCCTGGCACTTGTTTTTCCAAAGGGCAACTACAAAAGGCAAAGAGAATAGAAAAATCAGAACCGTTCCCACAGAAACAGCCTGCTCCTGGCTGCAACTTTTCTTTGGAGCACCACATGGTCCCATGACCATATAGAAGTCTAGATATGTGGTTTCTTGTTTACAAGCACGCATGAGACTTGGCAACTAACCTGGCTATCAATAAGAAACCCTAAATTCATAAGAAATTTGGAATTCTTTCATAGCCCAGCCCCCAAAATAGACCCTTAAGCAAGTTTTAAGTTGTAGAAAAGAGTCTTTTTTATATATTTTTTTTAATATGTAATACATATATACATACACACATGTATCAGTCATGAGTAAGAGATATTTGTACACCTCTGTAGTACTATGGAAAAATCATTAAATTACAGTTTTAATCAGGCATCTACAAATTCTTTAATTCAAATCTACAACTTTTGTAATTCAAACTTTTTACTGTTAACCCAGCTCAATCTGAATTACATTATCTAGATGTCTAATTTATGCCCTAGAGAAACTTTTTGTTATAGTATGCTTTTTATGTAAAAACTTTAATGCTTTCAAGAAAGAGATCTTTTGAAGATTTTACACTGAGTTTTAGAAATTTCTTCTTGGTAGTTGGAAATTACAAAGGGATCAAAAGATATTATGTATTTTCTGCTTTACTGTGTAACAGGAATGACCATCTTGGAAAGCATCAGCAGTTAATGGTAATCAGGGTAGTCAAAGATTTCAGTTAATTGTACAAGATTAATCTAACTAAGAAGGCATCCCATAAGCAGCAAGAAGATAAACTGAATATTCCAAGAGGCAGCAAAACAACACTCTGAGCTATCAAATTTGATTATCCACAGACAAAAAAAGAAAGTAAATACTCTCTATCAGTAACACAGCAAACTGTGTTATAATGAATATTTTTTAAGTCTAAAATCCCAGCTGAAAGACTCACGTCATTAGGTGCTGCTCTCCTTAGTCATCTACTATGCATCCGACTGAAGTAATACCTACCTTCTTACGGAACAGAAAGTACTACAAGCCAGACTGTTTTCAATGTGAGATTTCTTATTCCACTAGAATCACTACTGAATAACAGCTGTACCACGTAATTTTGGAATACGCTTTCTCCAGCTTAACCTCCTAAATACAAAGTTGCTGAAATGACTGTCAATACTATGTAAAATTCACTTGAGTATAAAGATGAATGTTTCCTCCCCTGAGCAAACTCTTGAAGTTCTAGAGTCTTATATCCAAGACTATTTTCTAAATAGGGTATGGGAAAAAAACCAAAACCCCAACAGTATCCATTGTTGACATGAGATTTTTCCCCATCTGGGAAAAAAAATAAAATAAACAGCATGCACAAAATCCCAAAAACATATTTCTCTTGGACATAGGCAGAAAGAAAGTAGGAAGCTGGTAGAAAGAAAGCATAGGTTCACTGAGCTATCAAGAATCTTAAATTCTGAAAAGATGCTTCCACTGGAGGGAAAAAAAAAAAACCAAAACCCACAACTCCCACCATCCTGTTCTCCTTCTCTCAAGGAATTCCACAGAAAGAAAAAGCAGACAGAATTCAGGATCTTTAAAGTTCCAGTATACTAAAAGAAATTCTACTTTGAGTTGTGGCTAGATTAGTAAGAGAGCAAGAAACTGCAAAGTTGGTTTTCAGAAGGCTACAGGAAGCAGGCTTAAGCAATTTAATTCATATTGCTCTCTACTTGCCAAGCTGCTGTTAGTTGGGTTTTTTTGATAACTAGGAAAGAATAAAACAAGGTATTTTGATGGCATCAATTCTATTGATATTTGGATGCAAGACTGGGGGGGCCTTTCCAGTTTCCCGCAAA